ACTTGCTTGAGCTCTCCCCCAAACCCCTCCAAATACCTATAAAAAATGGGTCTAAATAAATTCTAAAGCAGCAGAACCCACAAAAAGACAGAGTGAAACAAATTTCCAGCACAAGACAACCTGGATGGTTGATCAGAAAGGTATATCATGCAGTCTGGTTGAAGAGCACAGTTCGGCATGGGTGTGCAGGTCACAGTGAACCTGAGCAGGCCTCAGAGGACTGAATCATAGGCATCTGTGGTGGTTTCCAGACCTCTCAACCCACAAATGCCAAAGACAACTTAGAAGGTCAGTGGGAAAAGTCTATTTCTTCAGTGAGAGAGAAGCTAGGTCTCAGGCCCAGCTCCCCATCACAGCCAGGTTGGCGACGGCCTCTTGAGCTTCTGGCCCACAGACTGAGGGGGAATCAAGTGGATGATCAGAGGGGGATTGCAAAGATCTCTTTGCTGAGGTAATAATCTCTTCCTTTGCCTGCGCTTAGATCTGGGTCACAGTTCTGAGGTGTGGTCTAGGGGCAAGGAAGAGCGCTGGCATGGTGGAGCTTGTAGTGGTGATACAGAAAAAATCCTCCTCACAATTCCAAGGCAGAAAAGAGTGTTTGTGGTCACTCATACATCAGAGAACAGGCCAGGAAAGGAGCAAACACCTTGCCCCTTATCATACCACCTGGGAAGAACTGAAAATTTGCAGGTCCCTAGAAGTGTCTCTGAAAACAGCTGTACAAATCCCTGAAGCTTGGGACAGTACATTCTCCACATTGGAAGCAGACTTTTACCTTAACAAAGAGTTTAAAACTCAAGTAGTTGGCTGGGATCATGAGCATACCTCACAAGAAGTGTCAGACCATAGAATCTTTTTCTGGTAACAAAGAAGATCAAACCATACAACCAGAAGACAACAAAGTCAAAGCTTCTACATCCAAAGCCACCAAGAAAAATATGAATCAGTCCCAGACCCTGGAAGAGCTCAAAAAGGATTTTGAGAAGCAAGTAAGAGAAGTAGAGGAAAAACTGGGAAGAGAAATGAGAGTGATGCAAGAAAATCATGAAAAACAAGTCAACAGCTTGCTAAAGGAGACCCAAAAAAATACTGAAGAAAATAATACCTTAAAAAATAGCCTAACCCAAATGGCAAAAGAGGTCCAAAAAGCCAATGAGGAGAAGAATGCCCTAAAAAGAAAAATTGGCCAAATGGAAAAGGAAGTCCAAAAGATTACTGAAGAAAATACTTCCTTAAAAATTAGAATAGAGCAATTGGAAGCTAGTGACTTTATGAGAAATCAAGACCCTGTAACACAAAGCCAAAAGAATGAAAAATTAGAAAACAGTGTGAAATATCTCATTGGAAAAACAACTGACCTGGAAAATAGATCCAGGAGAGAATTTAAAAATTATTGGACTATCTGAAAGCCATGATCAAAAAAAGAGCCTAGACATCATCTTTCAAGAAATTATCAAGGAAAACTGCCCTGATTTAGAACCAGAGGCAAAATAGAAATTGAAAGAATCCACGATCACCTCCTGAAAGAGATCCCCAAAGGAAAACTCCTAGGAATATTGTAGCCAAATTCCAGAGTTCCCAGGTCAAGGAGAAAATATTGCAAGCTGCCAGAAAGAAACAATTCAAGTACTGTGGAAACACAATCAGGATAACACAAGATTTAGCAGCTTCTACATTAAAGGACCGCAGGGCATGGATATAATATTCTGGAGGGCAAAGGAGATAGGATTACAACCAAGAATCACCTCCCAGCAAAACTGAGTATAATCCTTCAGGGGAAAAAATGGTCATTCAGTGAAATAGAGGACTTTCAAGCATTCTTGATGAAAAGAGAGCTGAATAGAAAATTTGACTTTCAAATCAACAAGAACATGAAGAGGTAAACAGGAAAGAGAAATCATAAGAGACTTATTAAGGTTGAACTGTTTACATTCCTGCATGGAAAGATGATATTTATAACTCATGAGACCTTTGTCAGTATTAGGTAGTGGAGGAAAAAATTATATATATATATATATATATATATAGATAGATAGAAGATAGATAAAGATAGATAGATAGATAGATAGAGAGAGGCACAGGGTGAGTTGAAGATGAAGGGGTCGATATCTGGAGAATAAAATTAAGGGGTGACAGAGGATTATAGTGGGAGAAGGAGAAAGGGAAAGGTAGAATGGGGTAAATTATCTCACACCCAAAAAAAAAAGAAAAGGCTCTTACAGTGGAGGGGAAACAGGGGAAGGTGAGAGGGAATGGGTGAATCTTATTCTCATAGGATTTGGCTTAAGGAGGGAATAACATACACACTTAATTGGGTATTGAAATCTGTCTTACCCTACAGGAAAAGAGGGGGAGAAGGCAATAAGAGAGCAGGGGAATGAGAGAGAGGAGGGCAAATTGGGAAAGGGGGTAATCAGAAGCAAACACTTCTGAGGAGGGACAGAGCCAAAAGAAAGAATAAAATAAATGGGGGGGGGTGGTCGGGATAGGATTAAGAGAAATAGACGTAGTTTTTCACCATGTGACTACTATGGAAGTGTTTTGCATAACTACACATGTATAACCTATATTGAGTTGCTTGCCTTTCCAATGAGGGTGGGTGGGGAGGGAGGAAGGGAGAAAATTTGGAACCCAACGTTTTAAAAACACAAGTTTAAAAAAAACATTTTCACATGCAACTGGGAAATAAGAAATACGGGAAATGGGGTATAGAAATCTATCCTGCCCTACAGGAAAATAGAAGAGGAAGGGGATAAGAGAAGGGAGAGAGAGATAGACTAGGGGAAGGGATATTCAGAATACATGCCATCTTGGGGTGAGGGGAGGGGCAAGATGGGGTGAAAATTTGGGACTCAAAATCTTGTGGAAGTAAATGTTGAAAACTAAAAATAAATAATTTTTTAAAAAAGTTTCTAAATAGGGCATGCCCTTTGACCGAATTATCCCTAAGGGTGCAGAAATCAAAGAAAGAGAAAAAAGTATTGTAGTTATAACAAACATTTGTAGCAATTAATTTTGTGGTGGTGAAATCTGGAAATTAAAAAGAAGTCTAACAATTGAGGAATGGCTGGATAAGCTGTAAAATATGAATGTGATGGAGTCCTATTGTGCTATAAGAAATGAGGGAATAGATGCTTTTGTGTAAAGAATTACATGACACAGAGTGAAATAGGCAGAAACAGAAGAATAATTTCTATTGCAACATCAATATTATAAAAATAAAAAGTTCTGAGGACTGTTATAGACTACTAATAAATAAAATAAGGAGGGGCAGCTAGGTGGCACAGTGGGTAGAGTACCAGCCTTGGAGTCAGGAGGACCTGAGTTCAAATCCAGCCTCAGACACATAACACTAACTGTGTGACCCTGGGCAAGGCACCTAACTACATTGCCTAGCAAAAATAAAATAAAATAAGCAGAAACAGAACACTTTTATACAATAAAAACACTGTAAAAACAAATAACTTTGAAAACTCTAAGAACTATGTTCAATTCAATTGTCATACATAATTCAAGAGCATAGATAATGTGTTATCCATTATAGAGATGTGGTACATGTAGGGTGTTAAATGAGAGCCATCTAATTTTTGCATACAATAATTGAGCGAATTTATTTTCCTTGACTATCCATATTTGTTAAAAGACATTTGTTTTTCTTTTCTTTTTTTTAAACAGGCTGGAATGAGGAAAAGAGGGAAAATAGTTTTCTGTGAATTTAAAAAAAAATAGAGATATGTGGATGTACTACAGATGTGAAATATTTCATGTACTTTTAGATGAAGTCTTAGTATTACTAGTTTTACTTAAACGTTTTAATTTGTTAAAAGAAATTTCTCAAGAACAGAGAATAATCTGTCAATATTTGTAATGTAAAAACAAACACACCAATGAAACTTTAAAAATTGATTTTTAATGATCTGAAGGAAAGAGTAGGTTTAAAGTCACAGGGACTATGTTTGAATTCTGTTTCTGTCATTTTACACATGTGTTAACTTGGGGGAAGAGTCACTTAACCACTTTGGACTTCAGCATCTTCATTTGTAAAATGAAAGAATTGGACTAGTGTCTTCCAAGATTCCTTTCAATTTTTAAATTTGTGATCCTATGGCCTAACCAAGTGTGGCAAGCATTGCTAGAGCGGTAGATAGATAACCTACATGATAAATATAGCACCTTTGTTCCTATCAGTTTTAGATGGTGTTCATAGGTTAATAATAATAATGATAATGATGAGATATATAGGTATATGTAGGTATGTATATATATATATATATATATATATATACACATTGATATAGGCTTACTATGTACCAAGTACTTTACATTTATTATCTCATTTGATCTTCACAGCAACTCTGTGAGGTAGGTGCTATTATCATCTCCATTTTCTGGATGAGCAAACTGAGTGGGGAAAAGAGATTAAGTGACTTCCCCAGGGTCACACATCTAGTAAGTATCTGAGGCTGGATTTGAACTCAAGTCTTCCTGAGATTACACGCTCAGTGCTCTATTCATTGTACCATGTATCTGTCCCCTACTGGAAGGTACATTAGAAGTGATGTAGACCAACTCATTCCTTTTACCGATGAAAACACTGAGTCTCAGGAAGGTTAAATGACTTGTGTCAGAAGTAGGATTTGAACCAAGTTCCTCTAATGCCAGAGCTAGTACGCTTTCAACTATTTCAGAGGTGTCAAAACCATCTCCAGTGGGCCACATACACACAACACTTCTGAGTGTGGTCCAAATCAGATAAAAATATAATTGGGAAATATTTAACAAAATGATTTAATTTAGACATACAATTTAAACACAGACAACATCACATTTCAAATCTAAGTCAGTATGTGCCTTGTAGAGATCCTTATGTAACAGTTACCAGCCTCCATTTCTCTTTGAGTTTGACACCACTGCACTATAGGATTTATGTTATTTTCTGACATCAATGAAGCAAAATTCTGCAAGCAATTAATGACATAATACTTTAAATATCTTCAAACCTGTTCGGACTGGGTATCTGCCTGTAAGGAAAGCTGATCTGCTGGGGGTACATAGTGCTTCCGCAGCAATATGCTGAGTGAGTTTTATGCCTTCTTTGCAGAGACGGTCAATATTAGGAGTCCTAAAAAGTGGGGGGGGGGGGGTGTAAACATGTTTTGAGTTAATTCAAGTTATATGAGAATGTTCAGTTAACATTGCTTAAGTTCATACTCACAGAACATTTAGACAGCATAGGTTTTCCAGTATTGCTTTCCCTTCCTACCAGGGTGCTACATTAACTAGGGATACCTTAGAAACAGAAAGCTAGGATCAAAGCATTGTAGGTTCCATTTTTAGTTGTATTTTTTTTCAAATTATTAAATGATTACAGACTTCTTTAAGTGCATTCACATCAATTAATAGAATAATAGCTTATCAAAACGGTGAGGAAACATTGGTTACTCCAACTTCTACCCAAACAATCTTTTCTACAATACCCACACACGTGTCCAAATGCCACCAGTAAAGGGCAATTCATCAATCTCTGAGACAATCTATTAAATTTTTTGGAGCTTTCTAATTGATAGGAAGTTTTATTTTTTGGAACTTACATCTCTCTCTGTACTTTCTCTCTACTTATAATCACTTTCTTGGTTCAAATGGAATCCAATAGATTCTTTTTTGAGATGGCAGCCCCACAAATATCCATGTCCCTTTTATGTCTTCTCTCTTCTAGATTAAATATTTCTCAATTGTTTCTAGGTTCATTAAACTGACCCTGAAACATAGCATTGAGGTTAAAGCATCATATTATTTGTAAATCCTTCATGAATGTACATTTATTATGTCATTTATGTATTTATTGGCTATTCATACACTAGACTTTTTAAAAAATCATTTTTCTCACCAAAACAAACCCCAAATTAAAAAAAAAAACCTTGGACTTTCTGATTAATCTTCATTTCATCTTTTAATAGCTTTATAGCTATTCATCTTTAATAGCTAATAATAGCTGGAATTTATATACAGGTCTAGAATTCTATTCACTGCACTGCCTGTTTTCACAATTATTTCTATAGACATAGGTTACATCATTTACTGAAACTATTAACATGATCATTTTGGTCAAATTGTTGTCTTAATTTGACCAAAGCAAAGTTTTTTAAAAAGTAGCACCAATTAACCCAGTTGTACAGGTATATGTATCCATAGACTTCATTATAGCTTTTAATCAACAAAACAGTATTAAAATTTGATAAGTCCATACCTAAGTGTGAAATTGCCAAAGCATCCTAGGTCACCAATTCCTAGATCATCTGCCATTATCAGTACCACATTTGGTTTGGAATCAGGTACAACCGTTGATGCACAAGTTTTCAAAAATAGACCAACTAGGGACATAATGATTAGGGAGTAGCTATGAAGAGAAAAAAAGATTATGCTTTGATGAATTAGGAATTTATCAAAATCACTTTTTGATGATAAAAATAAAAAAGTTCATCTGTTCTTGCTATGAGCCAAAGCATGAGCAACACCATTTCAAGCATTCAGTCCTGCTGATTTCTATCCCTCAGTGAGGAGAAACTCATTTTAAGCCAACTAATCCTGGAGGGAATTTTGGAGTAGGTTTTGTGTTAAGAAATTCCCTAGATGGATTTCATAACTATTTTTGTTTTAAAAGTATAAAAATACGTAGCATAAATTTCAGATAAGCATAAACATAGACATCCAGAGAAACGGGTGCCAGAACCCATGACAAGTTCATAAGAGACAACCATGGACTAAGTTATACAATTGAATATCAAAGCTCCTTTTGTAGAATTTGTCTTTAACATCTCCAGTCTTCCATTGCTCTGTCCCTTTGCAGTGTCTTCTCCCTTCCCCACTTTCAGATAGCTAGTATCCACCTTCTTTCTCCCCAACCATCCACAAAAAATAGGATCTAGAAAGGCTTTAGGAGCTTACTTTAAAGTACCCTCTTTCAAGGCCACATGTATATTAAGCCTTAATTCTTATTGGGCAAAAGAAATCTTTGTACAGAGATTTCAGCTATTCCTGAGCAAGTAAAATGGGGAAAGGTCAGATGAAATATCTATAGTTTTCTTGAAACCACTCTACCAAGTAGGCATCTGGTCAACCTGAGTGTAAGGTATGCTGTAGTAGTAACAGAAGTCAATGAAAAACATCAACATAGACCTTAAATTATATTACTTTTGTTAGTCAAATCCAGGGTTTGGTTTTTTTATCTCTTCTCAATAATAAAATTTCATATTTTGTCATTTGTAAAGCCAGATGGCATTTATAAGAGAGAAGCAGAAATATCCTTTCAGAAGTAAATATGGTTATGTCTATGCTAAATCTCATTTACTATATAGTATTAATAAATGTATTCCTAACTAATAAAGTAGATTAATACAATAGCAATGTCTGTACAATCCATGACTCATTGAATTTTCTCAGGTGGCTGGAGCTAAAATAAAAATTAATCAAAAAAGTGGAATGGTTCCCAGTCCACCAAGACTGCCAGACTGCCAGGTGTAGACTAATAACCTGATCTCATTTTCAAGTTGCACACACATAAAAAAATAGACTTATGACAGTCATGAATGGCCACTCTTCCACTTAACCTCTAAAAACAGTTAGTGTAATCCCACTTTTGCTTTGAAATCGTGGGTTCCTTCAGAATAAAGCATCTAGAGACAAGAAGTGAAGAGAAGTAAGTGTTTCAGTGTGACCTTTGGAATCTAGGAAAGGATACAGCTGCCAGCCTTTCTCCTAATGCCCAATGATTATAAAACCTTTGGGAGGGTACGATGAGTAATCCTAGTATAGGCCTGCTCAGGTTCACAACTTTTTTTCATCGTCAGCTGCATTTATTAATTTTATTGTCTATTGGACAGGTACCCATAGCTTCCCATTCCAGGAAATATTGAGTTCATCATCAGAAGAATACCATTATATTACACATCTGTAGGATTGATTTTTCAAATGCTACATAAACTTTATGCTTTGGATAAGAGAGAATTGGAGAGAGAAAGATTTTCGATGGCATTGTCTCTTACCAGTGCTCCATCATGTATATCCAATTTTATGTACGCGTATATTTATTTTCTTCTTCTGTAAATGTAATAACCACCTGTAAAAATCAATTCAGTACCTTTAAATCCATTTAAATTAGTAAATAAAGTTAGGACCTTCCAGGCTTCTAAGAAATTTCTGCTAATTCTCACAAATATTAATTGGTTTTTAATTGCTATATAAAAAAATAAAGCAAAGGCCACTAGTTGACTAACCTGTTTTTTTTTTTTAATTTTAATTTTTCCTCTAAGCATTTGCCAAATGCCCCAATTCAAATGCATAAATCTATGGCAATTCTAGAATTCTTAGGTTCCCCAAAGCACTTTGAGAAATTCTCATCTGATATGGATTTGGATCTTCATAGCTCTTCAAGGTAAACATGGGTGCCTCTAAAGAAAGGAGAGCTTCCAGAGCTTTGGAAGCCTAGACAAAAAAAAATTCTGTCAAATGACTTTGGAACATCATGACTTTTCTCCATTTGCATTGTGTTATTATTCTTTCTTTGGTTACTGTGGGTTCCTGAAGTCCCAAAGCTATCTGAAGGTTAAGGGTCATTAAGTGTCAGAGTGTATCTGTATATGGGATCCCTCAGAAGCTCAGCATTGAAGAAGTGCTGTCAAACCTCAATATAAAGAAAGAATCCTCCCTCCCCCTCATCACATACATACATATTTATACATCTAAGCTTGCTTTTTATTATCAACATCTAAGAACTCAGTCTTCCAATTATCATCCCACTGAGTATATACAACAATATTAATTCATACCCAAGAGACTATCTACTAGAAATCTTCTCCAAATGATTCCCCTCACCCTGATAAAATTCAACTGAATCATGCTAATTGAGGGTCTGCTGGTGTTCTCCTTCTCATTTCAATGTGGAGAACATGCCAATGGAACTTTACCAAGCAAAAAAGTTTTGTTGTCTCTGCCTACCACAACTGTAAAGTCTGAATTTCTCTGGCAAAAAATATAACATAGTCAAATGACTCCAACTCACTGTTTTTAAGTTTCCCAGAAGAGGAATGTAGTTAATCTTTCTTCTTGAATCTGACTGGAAAAAGATGTTTGCCAGATCTTTAGCAATGTGCCAATCTACTCATGTTATATAGAGATAAGACTGGGCAGAGCTTACATGTCTGATTCAGACACAAGTATTTTGTATCTGATTTGCATACTAGTGCAAATGCAGAGCTATTAACCCTCCTAAGGCCCCACCTCCTTTCCTTCTTTGAAGGAAGTATAACATTCTTCAGTTAATCATATAAGATTATTATGTCCAAAATGACACAACCAAACAGGTAAAAATCGAGTCTTATTCAAATTATAGAAGTTTGATTCAATCTTGCCAAATACATATGAACGCAGGTTAAAGTGTCATGCATTTAAAGCTGGAAGTGTTGTTATTGGGGCAGCTAGGTGGCACAGTGGGGGGGCAGCTAGTTGGCAGTGGATAGAGCACTGGCCCTGGAGTCAGGAGGACCTCAGTTCAAATCCAGTCAGACTAGATACTTGACATTTAGTAGCTATGTGACCCTGTGCAAGTTGCTTTAACCCCAACTGAGTTGGCAAAAGAAAAAAAAGTTGTTATTGACCATTGGGTCCAACCTCTTTCTTTTACATATGATAAAACTGAAGCCCAGGAGGCTAATTTATTTGTCTGAAGTCACACTGCTAGTTATTGTCTGAGTTAAGGTCTGGTAGCAATTAAGAAAATTAATGAGAACTAGGAATAATGCAAGGTCTTAGACAAGTAGAAGTGAGTGAAGACAGCTTAAAAGAAGCAAATGGATGTCCTCGTCTTATTAGGAAAGGACTATCTCAGGTCATTTGCCAATGCAAGGATGTTCATGGGATGGATGATAAAGCAAATTTTTTTTTAATTAGAAGGGGTTTCTGGAGAATGATATAAGCAATTCCCTTGCATTAAGTAGACCAATCAGAACAATTGTTGAAGCAATTGTTATAAAAATTGTTATAATCTATATAAAGATATAGATACAAATGTTGAGATCAACACAAATGTTTGAAATTCTTAAATGACATTCGGAAGCCCCAGAGTCAGAAAAAGTTGAAAATGAAAATGCCTGTTGTCTTAGATCTGATTGGCAGAGCAAATAAGGGAAAATAATTTCATGAGCTATATATTTAGTGTCAATCATTACACAGCAAACTATCTTAGGAATTATTATAGATCAATGTGATAGAGTCGCATCATTCATCTTAGGCTCATAGATTTGAAGTGGAAGGGACATAGAGGTCATCAGGTCCAATATCTGTAGATGAGAAAACTGAAGCTTAGAGTTTATTATAGTCTCTATCTCTTTTTAGGGCTCCTTTCAAAATACCTTAAACCTGCATTATCATCTTTGTCCCTTAATGCATAACTACACAATGGAAGTGTGATGCTTGACTTTTCTTTCTCTGTTATAGCAGCCAGACATTTCAGCATATATATATATATATATATATATATATCTCAAATAAACAAATACCAATTATATAGAAAGTTAGAGAAAGTAATTTCCAGAGTGAGAAAACACTCCCAGAGAAACCACGGCAATGAAACTATCACCTCCCTGTTCCTGGACAATCTCTTGATTCAGCTTAAATTTGTAGTAGACTTTTTGGCGACATTATCAAACTGTGGACTCATATAGAGCTTTAAGTCCACCACAACCCTCATTTTCCATATGAGCTTCTGCCTAAGTATATTCTCCATTCTGTATTTGTAATATTGATTTACTGAGCCCAAGTGTATGACTTTGCAACTCTCACAGTTATATTTAATCGTGTTAGAAAGAGTTGATGCCTCTAATCTATTGAGGGTTTTGGGGGTTTTTTTGGGATCCTGATGCTGTCAGGTAATGTTAGGCAGATAGGTGACACAGTGAATAGAGTGTTAGTCCTACCATCAAGAAGACCTGTGTTCAAATCTAGCCTCAGTCATTTAAAAAGTATGAGATGGTGAGCAAATCACTTAACCTCTGTCTCACTTTCCTCAACTGTAAAATAGGGTTAATAGCTTAACCCCGTTGCCTAGACTAAATAAATAAATAAATGAATGAATGAATGAATGAGCGAATAAGCAAACAAATAAATAAATAAATGAGCGAATAAATAAATGAATGAATAAATAAATAAATAAATGAGCGAATAAACAAATAAATAAATAAATGATAGGTAAGTAAGTAAATAAATAAATAAGCAAGCAATTGAAATTATTTTTCCCCTCTTCATATTTTCAGAGATGTGTAAATTTTTAAGTAAAAAATATTCTACAGGGAGGAAATACATCATAAAACAACATAATAATGGTTTAAAGGTATTAAATATGTGTATAGAGTAAATATTTTTTAAAATACATGTGTATAGACATACAAGCTTGCATAAATATACACTTGAAAAAAATATATGAACTATTTTTTACCAATGTACAAGAAGTGGCCTAAAATGTGTCATCCATGAGACTGTAAGAAAAAAAGAGGTGGGTAGTTTATATATTGAAGTACTTGCTGGAGAACAGATCTAAGTTTGTTCTGTACAACTTGGAGTCAGTCAAAGGGCTGCCTTTGAGTACCTAGAGTGCCACATGTGGCCTTGAGGCCACAGGTTCCCCACCCCTGTCCTAGACCATTTCTCCAACCTATCATTATTGCAGCCCTTAGTCACCCTCCAGACTTTTCTTGCCTTGCCAAGCCATTTTTCTGTTCTGGCCTCACTTTCCTCCCTTAAAAATCCTTGATTTTGTAGCTAACCTTTTTAGTTTTAAACTGCCTTCTATTCTTAAATACGTTGTCCCTTTGTCCTATTGCTGCTCATCATTTTCCAAAGCCCAACCTTGAATTAATCTTAGCATCTGTCTTCTCTACTCCTAGGTGTGAATGCAGAAGGAGGAAGTCAAAATTGTGCGGACTTGCCCCACTCTAATTGCCACCCACCAATATTACTCATCGCTGATTGATTCTCAGTTCACTCCTCTTAATGTCTACTTCAAATCTCTTTTCTCCATAAAACCCCTTCTGCCTTTTCTTTCAACAGAAGACCTCAAGAATTATTTCACCAAAAAGGAGTTGATCGGTCAGAAGTTCTCATTTCTTCCCAATTCTACAATGACAAATCACTCCAAAATTACCCTCTCCTTCCTTTCCTCCAGGCTGAGAGATATCCCCTGATGCCTGAACACAGTAGTCTCTCTACTTGACTCCACCTTATTCTGACTCCTCTAGGAATTTGCCTATTTCCTTAATTTTTAATCTTTCATCATTCCTTATCCATTGACTCATTCCTAATTGTTCAAAAATGTGCTCCTTATCCTCAAAAAAAAAATCACCCTATCCTACCATCCCCTTAAGCTACTGCCCTATAGAAGATATCACAAAAGTATAGAATAGGACTGACTTTTGAGACAACCTATATAATCTCCTCCATTTCAGTCAAATTCAAAGAAAAGCTATTTACACTCAGCCTTTTTTTTTCACCTCCTAGTCATTTCTCAGACCTCATTACTGGCCTGCAACTGATTTCTCAGTTATCAATTATCTCTTAATTAGTATTTACTAATTGTTCTATTTCTTAGTCCTTTGTATATATATATTTGCTTCTGTAGCATTTGACACTATTGACCACCTCCTCCTAGACACCTTCTCCCTGGGTTTTCATCACACTTGTCTTTCATGGTTCGCTTCCTACACTTTTGGCAGCTATTTTTTAAATTCTTTTGCAATATTATTATCCTTATTCTACTCACCATGCATATGTGCATCACAGGGCCGACTTATTTGTTTCTCTACATCTTCTCTCTCAGTGTTCTCATTAACTCCCATATGTTTAACTGTCACATCAATGCTAATGACCCCAGGATTTATATTTTTTAATCCTAATATTTCTCCTGAATTCTACTTTTGCATTACCAATTGCCTATTGAAACAGCTAGATGGCACATCATATAGTGTGCTGAGATTGGAGTCAGGAAGACCTGAGCTCAAATAGTGCCTCAAATATTTACTAGCTGTGTGATCCTGGGCAAGTCAGTTAACCTCTGTCTGCCTCAGTTTTCTCAACTATAAAATGGGGATGATGATAGCACCTACATCCCGGGTTGTTGCTATGATCAAATGTAAAGCCCTTAGTATACTACCTGGCACATGGTAGGCACTTACTTAATACTTTTACCCTCCAAGTCTTATTGGATTTCCCCAACTGGATATCCTATAAGAATCTCAAATTTTATTCACTTAAAACATAATTTTTATCTGCCCCTCCCACCCACAACTTCCTACTTCTCTATTTTTTTTTTTAATTTTGGCAAGGCAATGGGGTTAGATGACTGGCCCAGGGTCACACAGCTAAGTAAGTGTTATATGTCTGAGATTGGTCCTCAGGTCCTCCTGACTCCAGGGCTGGTGCTGTATCCACTGTGCCACCTAGCTGCCCCAACTACTTCTCTATTTTTGATGAGGGCATCATTACCCTGTCAGTCACTTAGACAAACAGCTTTGGAGTCATTCCTGATTTTTCTTGACTTTTCCCCTTGCTAACCCTTCACATCCAACCAGTTGCCAAATTTTACCAATTCTATGTCCACCTTCTCTCTTTCATCTGATCTCTTCACCACTCTAGCTCAGCACTTCATTATATACCTTCTGGATTACTTCATTAGTCTCCCAAATGATTTGTATGCCTTGTGTCCCTTCCTTCTTCTATCTACCACACAGATGCCAAAATGTCGTTATTCTTAAAATTCAAGTCTGAGCGGGTCATCCCCCTGTACAAGAAATGCCAGTGACTCCCTCTTGTAAGCTAAAATGCAAACTGTTTCATTTTGAACAGTCACAATTGGGCCCCAGACCATCTTTCCAGGCTAATTACTCACTACTCTTTTTCACAAACTCTGTGTTCCCACCAAGTTGAACTACTCACTGTTCCCAATATATCACATTCCGTCTCTCATTTTTGTACCTTCCCATGCACTGTGCACTGTGCCTAGAAAACATTTCCTCTTTACCTCTTCCTTATAGAATCTCTACCTTCTTTCAAAAAATCAGATCTAGTTCTAGTTTTTGTAGGAGGTTGATCCTGAGCCCTCCAGTTAGTGCTCTTACTTATGAAATTATATTGCCTTTATTAGTTCCTTGAAGGCAGGGGCTTTTTCATTTATTTTTCAGTATATCACTGAGTTGTCAAGTCAAACATGTATTTATTATACTGAATAATACATCCACTGGAGTGTGTGTGTGTGTGTGAGTGTGTATGAGTGTTGGTCAGGGGAACTTTTGTTTTAATGTACTAAAATATCTCCCACCTATGATCCTGGACAGGTACCTTGATAGGAATAATGCAGGAAACTTCCAATTAGTCTCTGGTGACTTGAGCTGTGATGATTATTGATGCCTGAAAGTGAGGAGGATAGACTCATCACAAGGAATTCTTTCTGTCCCGTAATGTAGAAACAATGGTAGTATTGATTATGTCACTGTTCCCAGAGTAAGATGTGGAAAGTAGATTGAAGTGAAGTCCTCTTGTGCATAGTAGGGCAATTAGCAAGATATCTGGGATAGATAACTTGATAGGAAGTGAAACAGGGCTAAAATTTACCAGATATGAGTTAGGTGACTTTTCATTCATTCACCAATCAGAACAACTCAGTCTCAGGAGGGAATTAGGAAAGTTGAGCTAATTAACTTTCTTGAGGAATAGGAGCAAGGTCCATGGAGGTCTTGTCCAGAGACCAGTGTTACAAAGGAGGACAAAGGACAGGATAGCATTGGAACAGATGGCAATATGAAGTGGATTAGATGGCTAGATGTTCACACCAACATCTTTCTTAGCGTGATCTTCAATGTGTATCAATACTGAATTCAACAGAATTCAGGAATTCTACAGTAATCAATCTCTAACACAAGGAGCAAAGGTGAGAGGAGGTTGGGGAGAGAGGATGTTTTAAAAACAGAAGAGACCTTAGATATTACCTAGATCAACTTCCTCATTTAACAGACATCCCTTGACCATGGCATACTAAAAATCAAAGCAGTCCAAAAACCTTCAGTTGGATTCTTCTTCCATCTAACAGAGTACCAGATTGATCCAGTGTATATAAGGCCCATCCAGAATCACAGAATGTCGGAGCCCAAAGTGTCCATAGACATCATCTAGTCTAACACCTTCATTTTACAGATGAGGAATTTTGAGGCCCAGTGTTAGTGACTGAGGTGGCTTGGCCAAAGTCACACAGATATGAAAGAGCAATGCCAGTTTATCAACACAACTTTTCTCCTCCAAGTTCAGTGTTTGTTTCAGTATAGTATGCTAGGAATGAAGTTTGCCATTGGTATTCAAGGCCTGATAGCCTTTTTTGAGTATGGTGAATTTTTAACATTATTTTTTCCTAGACCTTTAGAATTCATAGAACTGTTGGGCTTCACGTGGACAAAGTTATTAACAGCAACATTTTGTTCTTGTCATAGCAAAGAATTAGAAAAATCTGAGTGCCCATCAATTGAGAAATGACTGAATAAATTATGATATATTAATATAATGGAATGTTACTCAGGCATTAGAAATGAAGGGAGAATTTCAGAGAAGCCTAAGAAGACTTATGTGAACTGAAGAACCATATTTTACACAATAGCAACAATAATGTAAAGAAAAACAACTGTAAATGATTTAAGAATTCTGATAAGTTCAATGACCTATCATGGCTTTAAAAAACTAATGATAAATCATGCTTCCCAGATTTTAGCACAGAAGCAATTGACTAGAGGTGCAGAATGAGGCATACATTTTGAGACATGGACAATTTGTGGTGTGGGATTTAAAATTAACTGGTCATTAGAATTGATTGATCATTAGTACATGGTGAGCTGACTGAGTCTTAATAAGTTTCCACTCTGTTTCATTGGACTTGATCAATCTACTATGTATTGGTTGGACTACTCATTGCGCGAGTTTGAGCTTGCTTAAGTAAACAGTTATGTACTCCACTCTTGTAGCTTGTCACCCACATTCTGCAAGCTGCCTGACAACATTAGCTACTGTGGAAAACAACTACAGGTGCCTTATTCTTGGTTTCCCTGTTATCAGTGCTTTCCAACTACAAATGTTCTAAATCCATCCCTAAGTACTATTATGTAGACCACAGGGCACCTATCCCTCCCTGGAAATTGCAAACTGCAAGACTTTCCAGGTCACTTTGGTCATAGGATGTTTAGACCAATTGGTGAGAAACTGATATGAGGGTACCAACCAATAGGAAGTGAGATATGTCTGTATTTAAATATAGTAACTGCACAAATGCTATAAAAGAGCTGATCTGCTTGTCAATTTTGTCTTTTGTAACTGAAGATCCCTTTTATTGGCAATTGTTAGCCTTGCTAATAAAATGATCATGCTCAGAACTCTGTGCCTCAGTTTCTCTTTATCATAGATTTTTATGTTTCAGTTGGTAACCTATATGAGAGTGAAGGACTCTAACCTCCCAGGGTACTTCTCCAGGGAAGGGAATTTGGACTCCCCCTTGGGTTTAACCTGAGCTAAGGTAAGTGGGAACCCTCATATTACTGGGGAAAGTCTTAAAGCTCCCGGTTGGGAACTCCCACAGACTGGGTGGAGAAAGTCATTCCATAAAAGCCTTTGGGAAGACCCTCTTATGGCAGGTAAAAGCCCATTCAAGGGTAGAGTAAGTCCTTCCCATTGGGGATGCCCTCATAAGGGAAATAGAGGCTAGCCTATAGTTTCCAAATTGGCAGAGTCTAGAAGGGTGGAGACAGTCCTCCTAGTTAGCAGAAACTTATCTCTCACTAATTCCCATACATCAAGCAAGCCTTTTTTTTGTTGTTATTTTATCTCTTTTCTTTATGTCAATTGGTCTGTCAATTGCAGAAAACTTCTTAAAGAGAGTGACAGAGGAAGACTTTACTACCAGGTATTCAAGAGGGAATTTTGTAAACTTCTATTAGGGCAAAAAGTTCAGCTGACAAATTACATGAAATCTCATATAGGTCCCTAATATGGCCCAAAGAAGTGATTTCTCAATTACTATAAACTAAAACTTTAAGGCTGCTCCTAAACTTTTTGAGTAAACTGATTAGAGATAAGGGGAAAAAAAAACCTTGCTAGCAAATACATGTATGGGTCTGTTTATCTGTGTTTCTGTCTTGATAATTAAACCAAACTTTTCCTATGGTCTGATCAATGAAAGGAAAATGGTATAGAGAGTAAAAACTTTCTGTAGAACTTTAAAAATCTTCAAAAAAGAGTTTCTCTCTCTGCCTTTCTGGCTTTCACCAACCTAGGAATGGGGTTGGGGTGGGCAGACAAGAGACAGATGAGAAGGCAAGAATCTTTGTTCCTCATAGCAAAAAAGCGATATTATGAACTAATCAGAGACCAAAGGTTGTTTTCTAAAAATCTCCAACTTGTGGTTGGCCTGTTTTTTGTAAAATTTACTTTTATCACTCTTTCCCCAGAGAGCGTTTACTGATTAGAAAAAGCTAACTGGAACTAGTGAATTCTCATAGTTTGCAGTATGACCACGGCCAAGAAGAAAGCTTGTTTTAAAATCAGAAAGTAACTGAAAAGTAAGTGAAATTTTGAAATACCACTATATTTTAAATCACTTGTTTAGGTAAATTAAAAACTTTGTGAACTTGTGCTAAAATCAGTGGAAGCAAAATTAGTTTAAAATTGTATTTCAGTAGGAGTGAGTCTATAATAAGTTAGGGTAAGAATTATTAAAGATAGACTTAAGCAAGAACATAGTATGAGAGAAAAGTACAGGAGTCAATTAAATGTGTACTCACTTAATATGGAGGGTGCTTAGATTAGAAAAAAAATCAAATTAAAAGAAGTATATGGCTTACAAATATTAGTACAAAATACAGATATTTTGAAAGAGCAATTTTTTCAAATTACTTCATTATTTCAATATTCATTATTTCAAATATTTAATGAATTCTTTGATTCATTGACTTGAGTATTAAAACACACAAAAATTTTATAGCATATAATTAGGATGCTTACAATGTAAAACAAGTATTTGTCACTTGGAAGTGTAATCTTATGTTTTCTAGAGCACAAACTTATGAAAGAAGTCATAATACTTTGAGGGAGAACAATCTGCTTTACTATCAAAGAGCCTAGTGAAACTGATATGTCAGTTTAAAAGTTTTAAAAAAGTGTGTAAGTATACTAGTATACGTAAGTCAAAGGTACTGTTGTTTAATTTACATTTATTTTAATTAGAAACAATTTGATGTTTACTGTTCATCACATCTCAGCAATTATAGTCTCAGTATCACTTTTCAATTTGTGGGGTTAAGAAATTTAGTAATATATTTAAAATAGTGAATTTTGACAAGTTAAAGTATGTGGTGAAAATAATAGACTCTTGGAAAAATTCATCTGTTATCATTACAGATTATAAATCTGGGTTCAATCTCGCCAAAATTTTGTTCTGAAACTAAATTATAGTTGTGGTATACCTGAGAATTCACTCAGTCTTCTTTATATGTAAAGAGGATAATAAATAATAGCACCCATCTCCCTGGGTTGTTGGAGAAATAAGAATATTCTAAAGTGTTTAGCATAATGAGCACTCTGTAAATATTGATTATTGTTATTGGGTTTTGGATTACATGACATATCAAAGGCAATAACATAAATAATTTTCTAAGAAGGATAAGTTAAGATTTGTCCGACTGCATAGATGAAATTTGACTTGAGAAGGAATTGAGATGTTTGGCATTTTGTTGAAAAGATATTCTTTAGGCTTGTAGTTTTTCTTGTATCATGGAATTGGGGGAAATATTAGATGTGACTAGAAACATGAGTTATCTTTTAATTAGGAGAATATGGCTTTTAATTATGTACCATTATGTGAAATTTCTCAAAAAAATTACAAAATACAGTTAGAAATGCCACTTTCTTATTGAGTTATTAAAATGAATGTGGTAATAGTCCTTTAAAAATTTTAATAATGAAGTGCCTTTTGCTTTAAAATGTAGAATTCTTATGATTTAATAAGAGATTTGAGGACTCACCCAATCAGGGCTGTGATCTAAACTTGTAACTGTGCTTAGGTGAGTAAAATTATATCTTATTGATGCTATGAAAGAACTTATGCTGTAAAAGTCTAAAACAGTGGGAGCTTACTTTGAAACTGACTAAATTTGACTAAAATAAGTGCTATATCTTATGAATTGGACTGCTAAAAGATAGCAAGATTATTTTTAAAACTACTCAATATTCAATGGGTTATATTTTCCTCTAAACTAGCCTTCGAAAGGGAAAGACTTTAGTGTTAGTATTTATAACTACCCTATAATGTAAGTTAGCAAATGGTTCAAAAAGTAATGGAGAAATCCAAAATTAAACATTCTAAAGTACCACAGAAAGCAAGTCTCTGAAATTATTTAAAGTAATCTTTATATTATTAGAGGGGGGGGAAAGCCTGGCATTTTGTAAATATGTATAAGGGAACTATTGTTACTTCTTTAATTGATTGTAATTACTGCATACCGCATAATTCTGTACTGGGTTTTAGATGTCATTGGATATGATTAATAAAATACCAGAGATAAGATAGATGATTTTCCCTGTAACGTAATTTTAAAATCCATTCTATTGAACTGTTTTCTTTTAACTACTAATAAGTTTCATGTTTTAAATACATATTATTAGGTTACTATTTAATGAAGTATTTTTGTTTCAAATTAAGAAAATAATAATAATGATAAATGACTTACCTTTGGGAGAAAAACAAGAGATGTTCGTGTGTGAGGTTCCTTGACACTTCTTCACTGAAGTTACAAGATTTTACCAGCCCTGTTGATAGCATGTTGTGAAACTCTGAGGTGCTGCAATTTAAGGAGCTAGGAGCTCTCCCAGTCAAAATAGAAAAATTTAGAAGTTAAACTTTAAATAATAAGTGTGTTTCATCTGATACTACTTAGAAAATCATTCAATTATATTTGTTAATAATTAGTAGGTAATGAAGTTACATTTTTGAACCAACTATTAACTATATGAACTGCATGTGTGAGCTAGTATTCACTGCATTTGTATAAAACTCTAGAATGTGATATTTGTGTGCTTTTACAATTTATCAAACATTTAACCATCTTATCTCTCCACCATTTCTTGTGATGCTCATCCTTCACCTTATATCTCATGTGAACATCTACACATTATTGTCATATGTATAGCTAAGTCTGGTCAGTAGGATGTCTCCCTTCAAGTTACCTGCTGGGTTAAAGCTTTTCCTAGAACTTCAAACTCCTATTAGCAAGCTGTACTCTGAAGCTCATCTAAAATGATCAGATGTACTCCCCTTTCTTTTATCCTATGTATAAGGCACAACAGTGGGTGAGTTCCATTTCTAAATATTAAAACCTATCATGTTTATTTGGAGTGAATTTTGCCTCCAACAAATATGCTGAATATTTGAAAACTCTATCTGTTAATGAATACTATATATATATATATATATGTATATATATATATATGTATATATATATATATATATACATATGTATGTATGTATATGTATGTATATAAAAAACCAATGATGTTAATGATTATTGTCACAAGAATACAATAATTATGTCCTGCCCTCACATGTTTTCCATGAAGTTTTGCTATTTAAGGTAAATCTTGTGAGACTTTAATTTTTTAAGTAATATTTTATTTTCTCCCTAATTACATGTAAAAAAATTTGACATTCAGAGTTTTTTTAAGTTTTCGGTTCCAAATTCTCTTTCCCTCCCTTCCCTCGCCTCTCCCTGAGATGGTAAGCAATCTGATATAGCTTATACATGTGTAATCATGTACAACATTTCCATATTAGTCATTTTGTGCAAGAAGATTGGAAGAGAGAGAGAGAGAGAGAGCCACATACACACACACACACACACACACACACACACACACACAAAGAGAGAGAGAGAGAGAGAGAGAGAGAGAGAGAGATGGGGAGAGAGAGAGATGGAGGGAGGAAGAGAGAGGGAAATGAAAATAGGACGCTTCAGTCTGTATTTAGACAGTGCTAGTTCTTTTACTGGAGGTGGATAGTATTTTTCACCACAAGTCCTTAGGGATTGTCTTGGATTATTATGTTGCTGAGAATAGCCAAGTCATTCATAGTTCTTCATTGCACAATGCTGCTGTTACTATGTAAAATGGTCTCCTGGTTCTACTCACTTCACTTTGTATCAGTTCACGTCTTTATAGGTTTTTCTGAAATCATCCTACTTGTCATTTCTTATAGCACAAAAATATTCCATTATAATCATATACAACAACTTGTTCAGCAATTTTCCCAATTTATGGGCACCCCCTCAGTTTCTAATTCTTAGCTACCACAAAAAAATGCTATATTTTTGTACAAATACATCCTTCCCCCTGCCCTCCTTTTTTATCTCTTTGAGGTATAGACCTAGCAGTGGTATTGTTAGATCAAAGAATCAATTTTATAGCCCTTTGGGCATAATTCAAATTGCTTGCCTTAACAGTTGGGTCAGTTCACAACTCCACCAACAATGCACTAGTGTTCCAGTTTTCTTACATCCCCTCCAACATTTATCATTTTCCTGTATTGTCACATTAGTCAATCTGAAAGGTGTGAGGTAGTACTTCAGAGTGGTTTTAATTTGCATTTGAGGCTTTAATTTCTTTTTTTTTATTTAGTGTGTACTTATAAGATTTTGAAGACAAGTATACACCATTCCAGGGGCTGTCATTTCTGTAATCTAAAGATTGCTACAGGTGAATATGTACAGGTAGAGAAAGTTGAGGTGGTGACCTTGAGGTAGGATCCTCCTAACTTGGTTTTCCATTGAGCTACTTCCTTCCTCAACAGGAAATTTTACCACCTAAATAATTTTGAGTCTGGCTTTTATAACTTGTGGAGTTTTAATTGGCTAATTGTCACTTTTGCCTGAAACCAAAACAGAGCTAAGGGAGTTTTTTTTCCCTTTGCTATGGCTTCTTTATATCATTATTAAAACCCTGGTCTTCCTTTTCCTTTCATAGAAAATTTCTTTAATTATGACTTTAAAAATTTGAATTTTGTGCAAATTAAAACATTCAGCTTATAAAATAGAATCACATTCTAAAGATTGAGGGCGCACAGTCAGCCATTAGTACTGAAACACTGAGTTGCCTTTACAGAATGTAAATATGAAATATCTTCCATGATTTTCCTCAGAGTTGCAGTTTTCTTCATGTATATGACATAGGAATAGTATCATCATAAGGGGAGAATTAGAGGGAGATATGACATAGTTTTCAAAATCAAAAAGAACTTTATATGTGAAATTGCATTAAAAATTGTGAAGAGGGTGAAATTATTTTCCTATTTGAAGCATTCATCTGATAATTTGAAGAGAAAGAAAGACTCATTTTCCAATTCAGGTCCTCATGATGCAAAAAATTGAAATTCTCTGAAGTTTCAATTGCATTATGTGTTCTTAATTTCATATTCTTCTTACAGCTCTATTAATAAAATCAAAACCAAAAGGCTTGAGCTAGAAAGTGGTATTAAATTATATTGAGCTTGTATTAAGTCTTCCTACATACTTTTGGGACCTAAGAAGCAGATCTGGAAGGAAGAGCCTCTTCACAGCTTGAGAATACAGCTTGTTCCAGAAAAGTACATCTGTTGCTTTCTGTGTCTGAGAATTACCAGGCAAGCTGAAAGAATTCCAAAGTTCATGGGCTATAGTACAAACTAGACTTTTGAACTTTTACATTGAAGAACTTTCAACAGACCAGTGGAACTTAAACAACCTGAGAGATCTACTTAGCTGCTGAACACTTCAACCAGAATTGGAGAAGGACTTTTAGACTGCTCATGAGCAAATGTAATATGGGCTTTTTATTAAACATCCTCTGTCTTAAGCTCCATATGAGTGTTAGGCTTGTCATCATATTTCAAAGGAATCAGAACAATGATTCCAGGTTCCCAATATTGTTATTTTGGCAGGTGACATGTTATTAGGATCTTAAGGACACTATCAATATTAACAACACTTAGAGTTGTCTTTTGGCTTTGATTGTGCTGATAGCAAGCATTAGAGGGTTGCTTTGAAAAGAATGAATTGCATTTCTTTTAATGAGCTATTTTGCTTCTGTAATTATTGCTTTTGTTGTATTAGGGCAAACTGCAAGGATACTTGACTACTGACATGAGTGCTGTATTGAGGATATTTCCTCAAAGGATCAAAGGGTGAAATTGTAGGATTTAAAAATGATTGATCATTAGTGCATGTTGAACTGATTGAGTCTTAGTAAGTTTCCACTGTATTTCAATGGACTTGATCATTCTACTAAGTATTGGTTTGACTCCTCATTGCATGAATTTGAGCTCCCTTAAGCCTATAACTTCAGTTGTATACTGTACCCTTGTAGCTTGCCATCCATTTCTTGCAAGCTACTTGACAACATTGGCAACAAAGGAACACAATTCCAGATGCCTCATTCTCAGTTCTCCTATTCCAACCACAAATGTTATAAACCCATCCCTAAGTACTAGCATGTCTACATGTCCACAAGCCTCCCCCCCCCTCAGAAACTACCAACTGCAGGACTTTTCCAAGTTAATTTGGTCATATGATGTTTGCCCACCCTGGGACTTTCCAAAGGATGTTAGTCAAATGATGTTAGACCACCTAGGGAGGAACTGAGTTAAGAGGGAGCCAACCAATCAGTATAAGTATAAATATAGTAACTGTGCAATAAAAGATTTTCTCTGGTTGTTAGTTTTGTCCTTGGTTGCTGAGGAACCTTGGATACCTTTTATTGACAATTGCTAGCCTTTCTGATAAATTGGTTGTGCTTGAAATTCTGTGCCTCAGTTTCTCTTTATTAGCTATTTTTATTGCTTCAGTGGGTTTATTTCACTTGACCATACTTTTATTACAAAGGAGGATTTTTTTGGAAGGGGCAAGTATTGTTTGAGGTAGTGGGTAGTTATTGATATTAATGCAAAGGAAAAAAGAAATAAAAGCATGTCACTGAAATATGAAACACCCAAAAGGAATCAAAAAGAAGTTCAGAAAGGGACAGCATTGATACTTTTGTCTTAAATTTAATATATTCTTTTAAAAATAGACTATTTCTAATAAAGATTTGCATGTTTATATAGCATCTTTTTTCTGTTCTTTGTAGGATTTTTGTAAATGGAACTATATTTAAGCAAGATATGTGCTGTTATCAGTACTAGTGCTAATAAGCCAGACCATCTTTGTGATGATTGTTATGCAATGAACAAGAAAATATGGGAGTAAATGACCAGGTGAGGCTCTAAACTTGCAGCAATTGGGCTATAGTTGTAATCTGGCAATCCTTTCTTCTGTTTTCATTGTTCAGTCAATTGGCTGCTGATTCTCTGAGAAAGGCAACCAAGAGCTTGGCATAGTTATGTTAGCCACAGTGACTTCACATTGGTTTGTAGTCAGTTTCCTCCCAGCTCTAAAGCTGGGTTGTAGCAAAGAGGGGAACTGTGGCAAGATGATGACATGTCTTGTTTGACCTAGAATGAAAACATGACATATCTCATCCTCCCTGATAGAGCTCAATCTTCTCTATTCCCTTTGTCTTATCTGTGACTAGGTTGGAGAGACAACAGCCTCTGGAATGTGACCTTCCAGGGGGTGGAAGGAACAATGACTTCAGTTATGAAAGATGGGTTACGCCATTCCTGAAATGCTGTGAAAAGGTGCTTGGAGTTCATTAGCATTGTTCCAAAGTATGCAATGAACCATGAATCTTAGAACTGGAAGGAACCACAGAAGCCATCTAGTCAGACTCATATCTAAAGAATGGAATCTCAGAAAAGCATTTAGCTAGCATCAATTTAAAGGCCTCCGAGGGTAAAAAAT